CCCCCCCCCAACCTCACCCCTAGGTCATTTAGGGATGTGCCAGGAGGAAAAGCACGCGACTCGTCGATCGGGAACCTGTTTCATCTTCGACGTCGAGCCTCCAGCTGCTGGGTCCGAGAAATTGTCATTGCTTTTTTTGCCTGTCATTGAAAAAAAAAAAAAAAAAAAGTCTTGCCGTTAACCAATCCTTAGTGTCATTGTTATCATGTGACTGACTGTCAACCATCGCCGCCGATCATTTGTCAGTACCATAGACTTCCATGTACCTTTTTTTTTTTTTAATTAAAAAAAAAAAAAAAAAAAAGTCTTGCCGTTAACCAATCCTTAGTGTCATTGTTATCATGTGACTGACTGTCAACCATCGCCGCCGATCATTTGTCAGTACCATAGACTTCCATGTACCCTCATACCGTTCCAAAAACGCCATTTTAATTGTTCATTTGAATATCCTTTCTCTTCTTTACCCTTCTTCTTCTACTTCTTATCTATCTTTTCTCTTCTTCTTCTTCTTCTTATTCTTCTTCTTCTTCTTCTGAAACGAGACGACGATTCTACGAAGCTGACGTCACGTCAAAGAAATCGTGAAGACTTTAACTAACGCCGTTGTCTTTTCTTTGTTCCCGTGTTGTTAACCCGTGTCCTGCCGTGTAGCGCGAGACATACAAGCTGGAGGCGATGGCCCAAGACAAGGGCTACCCGCCCTTGTCGCGAACGGTGGAGGTTCAGATTGACGTTGTGGACCGTGCGAATAATCCGCCCCTATGGGACCACGTAGTGTATGGCCCGATCTACTGTAAAGAGAACATGGCCGTTGGGGCTAAAGTTGTGTCTATTAAAGCCAGGTCTGTCACACTGTTAATGCCTTCGTGCAGCTGCACGCAAGAACCCGCCCTGCACGCAAATCTCGTGGCAATATATTGTTTCTTGTGCACGTTAATTGATATTGTGTACGAACTCACACCGATCATCTTTATATACCCATAGTTCATTATCGCCTACAAAAATCAGACATACAACACAACAACTTTTCGTCATTGATCATATTTCATTTTTTTTTTATTTATTTATTTATTTTTTTTTTACATCCCTTTCATCATTGACGAATACCGATTGTCGTATGAGAATTATTCCTTTTTTTTTGTTTTTTTTTTTCTAATAAAATCAATTATTTTTGGAGGAATAATGAGAATGTTCATTGTTAGTCGATTATATGATTTTGAAAAATTTCAATTACATTTTTCAAGTTGGTATTAGAGATTATTCTGTAAATGCTGTAGAACGTAAAGTGGTTAATGCTTGTTCGGTGTATCGTTTTATAATGTTACTCGTAATGGTCTGTATTTCGGATATGCTGAAAGAGACGTATTGCGTTTTATTAATAGATTAAAAAAAAAAGAGAAGGGAATTATCACACGGTATCATTAACACTGTCATCGATTATACGATACATGAATTTACATGAATGCACGTATCTTTCGGTGTGTCTGGCTGTTCACGGCGACCTGCCTATGTTTTCATTCATTTATTTCACGTAAGACCTACTGATTTTATTTTCTTATTTCATTCGCGTCATTCCCCGTGTATTTCAGTTCATTTACGAAAGTCGTTGTCGTCAGTTATCATCGATGACGATTATCGTGTCTTGTCCACTATACGACTATTGTCATTACTAGCATTCCTTCCGTCATTATCCATGGTGTAGGATTCCTTTGAAATCTGGGTACACACGTTTATAGTTGATTTTTCAAAAATCAATTTAAAAAAAAATCATGTCAAAAATGATTCTCCTCCCACACGCACATTTAATAGTATAAAATGGGTGCCGCACACGATTTTTGGGCATGTTTCGGCTAGATGTTTTTGGTTTTTGTCGTATTGGCGTTTTTCGAAACAAAATTTTTTTCACGTCCCACACTCCAAATACTGTTCTTGGATCTGTTTTTTTTATTGAATCTTGTTTTTTTCTTTTTCAAAAAAAAAAATGCGCGGCGTAAAACGTTAATTATTATCTTTTTTGATTTTCATCGCCTCGCAAACCACGGTAAAAGTCCCGCAAATTGAATTTTGTCTTTTTTCGTTTTCTCTGTTGTTTCTACCTTTTTTGAGTAATAATAATAATATATATATATATATTTAATATATATACATCCACGTTCGCATAGATCGTCGACACGAATGCCGTATTAATTTTTGGGCATGTTTCGTCAGTTGGCTTCTTTGCGTTGCGTCACGTTACGTTGGTGCTTGCGACAACCGTAGCGTTGCGTAGCGTTTTGTCAGCGAGTATATAAACAGTAGTACAAAAAAAAAAAAAAATAGAAAAAGCAGCAAAGTAAAATAAAAGGAGCGTATAAAAGGAGCAACGAAAAAAAAAAAAAAAAAAAAAATATATATACAACAGAGACATTTTTCATTTTCAAACGAGATAAGAGTCGATGATTTTGATGGACCATTTCGCGCTGATGACACTCTACAAATTTTGACATTAGAAATGGACGAATTGACGAACATTTTCGGTGCTGATTAAGTGGGAAGAAAAAAAAACCGAAAAAATCACTTTTGGATTTGCAACTCGTAACAGCCACAGCCACCCATATCCAGTGCCTTTTTTTGGTACACTTTCTCACATATACAAGTTCGCCGTCACATAACACAAGAATGCACAAGTACACGTTTTGTGGTAGGTTCGACAGTGCATTGGTTCCCTCCTCGCACTTCATTCCCTTTCTATTATTTCTCTTGAAGGAAGAAAAAATAAATAAAAAAGAAAAGGGTTCACTCTGTCCCGATACGTGCTTTTGTTTTCATTCACACGACACAGCACACATCCTCCTGGACAGTTTGCGAATGTTTCAACAATAATAATACATACATATATATATATATATATATATATATAATATAAAATCCAAAAGCATCGCATAAACGAATCCGACTAACAGTGAGAGCATACATACGTAACAATGACATCGCAAAATGAGCTAAACGAAATGAAAAAGTTGCGAGCGCGAGGCGAGTAGAGTTAGAATACAAGGAATGCCTAATCAAAAATGCCACCAGATGTGGTCGAGTACATTTGCCTTTAGTGACGTTTGACGCTCGAAACGGAAAGGAAAAGCTGAATAAGAAAAAAAATTCGGGGGAAAAAAGACGCTAGCAAAGAAAATGGAAAAAAAAAAGAGTGAGAGATAGTAAAAACAAAATGCCACGGAAAAATTGGGTAATAACAAAGCCGTAGAGATTTGTCGTATTTAACGAGATTGACGTAAGCGCCGACTACGCTTTCGCTGCACGCTCGGTATGTAATAATAGCCGTACACTTCGATTTTGGATCGAGCAACTAATCCTTTAATTCGAAAATTTTTGAATCTCAAAATCTCGTAAATTAAAACTTTTGTTAAATTGGTATATCGAAGGAAAACGAAATTAATTGTTCGTAACGTTTAATCGAAAAGTCATTATTTTTCGGAAAAAAAAAAGCAAGCGTGTCATCGAAAGGGTAGTAAGTCTCGTAATGTTATCCTTAGAAAGTTTCGAGTTAATTTCTCTGATTTAAACGTTAAAAGCATGGGCCTTACGTTATATTCGAATTTTTGAACATAGTCTGTTCGGTAATTACCTAGGGAGTTCCCGTTCTCATTTCTGTTTCCGTTTCCGCATGCCCCGTCGCTGCACGTGCGGAATCTTTCTGACGTCATTCCTGTGTGTCGACAGCTCCGGAATCGAAAACAACCCGACAGTCTTTTACCACCTGATGCCGGGCTCGACGGCACAGACCAACAAGCAGCATACATTTTATCTTCAACAACGTGCCGAACAATCCGTCACGTGGGCGGATATCAAGGTCAACCATCAGCTGGATTACGAAAGCATAAAGGAGTTTAATTTGACAATACGAGTGGAGGTTTGTGCACTATACTTTGTGGGTTAATTCAAACAACCAAGTAAAACAATAGAAACCTATCAGTTTTGAACAATCTAAATGCTCTTCTCGTACCGTATATAACTTTGCATAAACAATTATACAATTCTTTACAAACACGTCCAATACGTTCCTTTGTCACGTTACAATCAGAGACTCTTCTTTAGTAAACTCCACAAAAGCCCAGCTTCTTACTCCTCTCAACGTTGTTCCTCTGGTGCTTCTTTCTACACGATATTCGAAATGCTTTCACGGTACTCCGAGGTTCCTTCATAAGTAGCAGCCGACCTAATCTAACATATCTAACCTAACCCAATTGTATTCGAGCAGAGATACGTTTTAAGTAGGAGGCAGCCTGTGAATATGAAAAGGATATTAAGCTTGTTTACCTCGTTTTCTTTGTGTTTAGAATAACGGCGCGCAGCAGCTCGCATCCGAAACAACTGTTTATATCATGCTGGAGGATGTGAACGACGAAATTCCATTGTTCACCGAAAGGGAGCAGGAGACTGTACTCGAGGGCGAACCAGTTGGTAGTAAAGTTACTCAAGTCAATGCGATCGACAAGGACGGAACTTATCCGAACAATGAGGTAAAATTTATGCCTTTAACATTAAAATTACTTGGCGAACATTTGAGAAATTATACGCACGTAGAAGCTTATTGGCAGAGATCCTTCTTTTCGTATCTATTTTTATACACTGAAAATCCCATAAATAAGTGGACGTCCTTTCCTCAGGAAAATTCCTTTAGGAGAATGGCCGCGCGCTACATTGACCTAAATGGGTTCTCATTCTGTTTCCAGGTGACGTACTACGTTGTGGATAGCGACCGGAACGAGGGAAAGAATTTCTTCGAGATAAATCAGAAGACTGGCGAGGTCTACACGAAGGTGGTGTTCGATCGTGAAAAGCAGGGGGCTTACGCTTTAGAAGTGGAAGCAAGGGACGGCGCACCGTCGGCCCGTCCAAATAGCAACGGAGAGCCGAATTCTGGTAGGTGGACCTTCGTTATTAGATTTTTCGGCACTTACGGCGGCAGGGGGGCCAGATTGGGTGAATGTGTCCTCCCCCCAAAAAAAAGGTCCAGAGGAAATCCAAGAAGAGATACGAACGAATGAGATTTTATTGTGAATAAAACGAATATGGCGGCAGGGGGTGGTAGTAGGGTTGAGGGAGTGTTTTGAAGGAATTTCGCGAGTTAAGGGTTTCCCAAAAGCAGCCCAGGGGTCTAATTAGTTTTTTTTTTTAGGAATTTCACTTATACCGAAACACCCCTTGGATGTTAATTGGACATTCAAATCGGGCTTCCATACTTTTTTTTCTCTTCATCAGTCATGCTCGAACCAGCCCTTTGACGTTTGATCTATAATTTTGTAATTAACGGTGCTGCATAGAGATCGATGCTTGTCAGGATGGGGTATGCATTGACACGTTCACTACCCACGACGTAAATCCGCTCGATGAGACCTGCCCCCTGTCAACCGGTCTCTCGGTCATTACTTCGATGACTGAAATTTCGGAAAATTTATGGATATCCATACGCTCGTAGATACCTGTCAGCGAATATGCATTCAGAAATTTAGGGATTGATCTGTTGATTTTCATTTGCTTTGCGTGAGTATTTTTATCGCTGTACATGAAAATTGGCAGAGGGGAGTGAATCGGGAGCAATCGGTGCTCGATAGGATATAAAAACGGATCCAATGGTCCCTGAAGAACGTTGACAATAAGAGAGGTACCTGTGTTGTAGGATAATATAGAGGAACATCAAAATTTTTGAAAAAAAAAAAATTCTTTACGATTCGTTGATTAAATTTTTTCTTTATTATACCAATATCGACTAAATTCGTATCTTTGACGCTTTTGTAAATTTTATGAAATTTATCGAAATACTTTTTGAAAGCGGTTCGAATTTAAACATATTTTAAACACGCGCCCTTAATCCATATTGAACGTCGCTCGAAGAATAAAAAATCCGCTGTCTCGATTTTCTAGAGGAAAATTAGGCGAGGCGAATGCAAAAGAGTTCTGAGGACTTTATTCCTAATGAAAATCCGTATATACATGTATATGCAAACAACGGATTAGACGGCGGGATCGGAAATTTCGTTACTCACACCGCTGTCTGGGAGCGAAGTAGGTGGCTATTGATTCGCATTCCTACGGGAATTTCCAAGAGAGCTACTTGCTGGTAAACGCAACAGAGAGAACGCGACTGACCGCCGTGGGCAAACGAATGACGAATGAGCACAGAGAGAGAGAGAGAGAGAGAGAGAGAGAGAGGGAGAGAGAGAGAGAGAGAGAGAGAGAGAGAGAGAGAGAGAGAGAGAGTGAGTTGGCAAATGAGAAGGAATGGAGAACAGAGACGAAGAAAGACTCGTCTGTACTTTACGATCTTGTGAGAATTTATCGTGACGTCTTTGCAAGGAATCGTTTGTCGAGAGACGCCACTGAATTTACGATGGAACAACTGGGTTACGTCATTCACTCCATATAGGTATTAACAATTGGACCAATTGTTTCCGCAGTCGCCTCGCGATTAATAACCGATGAATTTATATCATTGATAATGTTATAATTCATTATATGTATATAATACGTGTGTGTATATTTTTTTAGCTGCTTTTCGTACTTGCTTCTCGATTCTTTTAATCTTAAGCGGCCCGTTCGAACTGCAGTAACTGGAACGAGGTTACGAGGAATGATAATCGAGGCCAATTATAGGCAGTATTTAGGTGTTCCTGACTTTAAAGAAGAATTAAAAAAAATTTTCTAGATTAAATACAGGACGTATTCTCTCGCTTGCTTTTTTTTTTAATACCATTTTTTTTACAATTTGCACGAATCCAAGCACCGCGATCGAGATATGATTATTAATTCTATGAATATCCATTGAAGTAGATCATTTACATATTTTCTGTAAGATCTTTTTTTTTTCACGGAATTGGAACTCGTATCGCGACATGTGGACGCATAGGTATAGGACGGGATAAAAGCACGGATCGAATTCTCAATCGGTTTTCATTGTTGTGAAGTTGGTAGGAAATCTGAAAAAAAATGTAGTCGACTATCGAAAAAGCATAAAGGGAAAACCATAAAGTCCGAATGGATTTCAGGGTACACGCGAAAATTTCGCGAAAACTTTCATCCTTTTAACCGGCGCCATGTCTGGAATTAATTGCTGCTGGTATGTTGTCGAGGGAAATTTCTCGTGGATCTTTTTGTTCACTCCTCTGTTCTTGTTGAGTCGAGAACCGGAACAAAGTTTTACGTAAAATTCACTCCACTCAGTCCCCCGCATACTCCTCGTGCATTTAATCGTAGAGTGACAGAGACACACTGTTTACCTTCTTTTTCGGTTATTGCCATATGGTTAGAAGGGAAATTTGACAATAAAATTTTTGTTGTTGCTGTTATCATGGATGATAGTAGCGAATTATTTGTTTGGAACGAAATTTTATGCATTTTTGTTAATAATGCAATAATCGGTCAATTCATGCATTTTGAAAATACTCGACTATCGATTGAAATTTCGAAAAAGATTTCGCACAAATTTATTCCCACTAATCGGCATGGATCTATTGATAATCGCCTTACTAAATTTGGCTCAATACGTAAAAGAGTTATTACGAACTCTTCTATTAGGATTATACCGTTGGATAATTAGTCGAAAGAGTAGAGGGATTTAAATCCAATACAAAAAAGCTTAAGTAAGTTGATTGAAAGGGTTTGCTATGTGTTTTGGCAAACATCAATAGTTTCATTGCATTCATCGTAAATTTGCGAATATTAAGCCAGGACGAGAACCATGCGTTTGTTGTGCTCGTTTGTTAAATTGCAAACATGATAAATAACTCGAGTGTGTATATTCCCGATAAACAACATGATCGAAAATTGTGCAATATTAAAAATAATTAATCGAAACGTCTGAACCCCATATTCATTCCCCAGAGATATTTCCGTCGAGTTAAATAAAATCGCATGAATTCGCACGATATTTGCACTAAAATACGAAACGAAATATTAAATTGTAAATTAACGAAGTGATATTTTAACACCAGTTAGATTGACCCACTCGTATAACGAATAACAAGCCATCAGAAATCAACCTATGAGAGGTACTGGAAGTCGAAAATCGAATTTGATTAAATAAAAAGAAAACTATGTGCTTGGATAAAACCAAAAATCAAGCGATCTTTCGAAATATAAATTAAAAGCAACCAAATTAAACGATACAAAACGAGATAATTGAAAATCACTCTCAAAATGCGGATGCACGAAAACACAGTCATCGACTATTCATCAGAGTCGATACCGTATAAAATCTCTCTGACAGACGTAATTTCGCGTACCGATTACGTCATTCCTGCTAAATCAATTTTCAAGAACCAGTGTGTTATCGAGGAAAAACAAAAAATCGCTCCTCGCTATTAATAAGAATAAACAGAAACAACGCATTCACTATCTCCATCTACACAGCACCAAGCTTCATTTTTCCGTAATCGAATATTGATTCGTCCAAGGAATAACGACTGATTCGTTTCTGATCGATTGACAACAAACGGAATTAGCGTAAACCCAAGAGAAAACCATAATGGAGAATCGATGGTAAAGTCGGACCGATTGAATTTCGCATACCCAGTATCTGGTATCGATACATGGGTCAGTGGTCTTGTGGGATATGAGATATCTGGGCAAAAGAGAGACACAGATAGGTGTCAGGGAAAGATAACCAAGGAGTAAGAGAGAAAGGAACATTCTATGGTGAACGCGCGGTGACTGTATATTGACTAACGCATAAGAAGGAAGGGTAGGATAGGTTAGGGTAGGCGAGGGTAGCCGGAGTCTGGTTAGAATCGTCGAGTAAAATGGGGTTAGGAGTGGCGGGGAGCGAGTTTCAGCGGCGTGTGCGCATGGCCGAGTGAACTGATTTGTCGCGTCTGCGTGAAGTCGCCCGGTCGTTGCGTAGGGCATTCCGCTGCTGGAAAAGCTGTAGATTCGTGCCGTGCCCGGTGCCCGTAACGCGACGCGGGTTAAACGCCAAGTATATTCATGATACACAAAAGTCTAGGGACTAAGGTAGAAATAGAAGCGTAAAGAAACAGTTGGCTGCAATGACGCCGATTATAGGCGGGATTTATTTTCACGACGAGCTTCCATGTCTCACCGCTCGCACTGTGAGGGCGCGCAGATTCATCTGAACAAATAAAGGATACGTTCGTTGCGCTCAACGTCAGTTACGTTCGCGTTCTACGTGTTGATTAAACAGTTGACAGTGATCTGTGTCGTTTGTTAATCGAATTAATCATCGTCAACCACTACCACCACCTCCCACGGCGGTGCACGTATTGAATGCTGCCCCTTTATGTGACGAACGTGGTTTAATGGTTGATCCGCTTAAGCTATTCTGGGTTATAACCAACAGCACCTACCTTGGTATGTTTCATGAACTGTTTCAACACTTTTGAGAGATACTCGTTTAAACAGGGGCGACGGAATTGCCAAACTTTTTTTCTCTTCACTAACACTTCACCCAACTACACGAGGGTTGACACCCAGCAGAATTACAGCTTCGGTCACAACGGTTCATTTAATACTTTATCTACATTGCATTATTCATTATTTAACGGTAGCCCCCTGTATCCCTTGGAGACAACGGATCAGCGTTCTTGTTGCTACGGAAACGAAGTGAGCCAATTAAAGTATACTTTTTATTCACGATAAGTTGATCAACAAAGTTTTACCGGTATACGGGATAAATACCTCCTTTTTTTTTTTTAATAAAAATATTAATTATCCTAATTGAAGGAAACGAGTCTCTGTCATTTTAACGATGCTCTAATTTTACTTCGTATAGACAATTAAACGTTATACGGAATTAGCACGATCGGTGCAGTCAAGTTAGTAAGTCGTTAATTCAATGACTTTGTGACTTAATATTGTAATTGGGGTAGACAGGGTATAATCGTTTGACGTTGAGCAACTAGCGATGG